GACACCGTAGTGGAGGGCTCCGCAAATTTTGACCACCTGAGGTTCTTTAACGTGCACCCAAACCTGAGCACACGGGCCTACAGCATTTCCGCCTCCATCGGAAATGCAGCAGCCGCAGCCGGGATTCGATCCCGCAATCTGCGGGTCAGCAGCCGAGTACCTTAGCCACTAGACCACCGCGGCGGGGCCCCGTTTTAGGCAATCTGCTCGCAAAGCTGTAGTTACTATTTTGTGTCATGTCGCTGTAACTCCTGTGCAGCAGGAATAAATAAAAAATAAAATTAGTGAGGTCGATGCGAGTCGGCTGTATAGATTAGTTTCATTTGCATTCACAAATACATAATTACACAGGGGAAAGAGGGAGACAGCAGGCTGCCAGCTGCCAACTAGACAAGAACAACGTCTGCCTATTCTTTCGAAAAGAGGGAAGAGATAGAAGAGGGAAATGTAGGAAGATAAAAAGTTGATAGGAGATAGAGAGTAATGAAAAAAATATGTGACGAAGACAGACAAAAACAATACGACAAAAGAAAGTTCAGGAACAATGATGTTACGGGCAATTGAACCGCACGGACGTACGGGGAGCGGGGGGTCAAAAGTTCCCAGGTTGCTAACCCATGCATTCCTATAAAAGCCTGGCCTGGAAACTTTTACCCCCCCCCCCCCCTCCACCCGTAGTACTTCTCCCTCAACTTTTCAATACAATGGAGTGAGAGAAAAAAAGAGGTGGGGGCGTGTGATGAGGAACCGTGCAATTTTTTTTTTGCTACAGATCTGCGAATCACCTATGTTACAGGGCCCAAAAGAAAAAAAAGCCTGATTTTGTAGGCTCCGCCCGCCCGCACATTTTTTTCGGGATATAACAGTATGAATTAGTTAACGTACGTATTGCCCACCCATTCCGAATTCGCTACGCTCCATTTTAGATAGAAAAAACCTGATGTCGTAGCCTCTACCCACGCCCTTTTCTAAACAGGGATTGCACAAATCTCCTCTGCAAAATAACTTCCGCGTGTGACGAGTTTCGTGCCCCTTTGTCCATATATGTGTATTGCTCGCACACCCACGTGCGACAGAAAAAAGAAATGAAAAGAAGAAACAAAAGATAGGGAAACGATAGTTGCACGAGAAAAGAGTGCCTACGTATGCGATCGTCTGCCGCAGCAGTCCTTATCTATGGCTGTGAGCGAGATGACGTGTCCGCCCTAAACTGCTCGCAGGTACGTCGCCTTGCCGATAAGGATTTATAGCCGTCCGAACAACAATCGAGTCGATCGTCGTGGTGCTCTTCGGAGACGGGCAGCCGCATATAGTCGGTCACAGTCTACCCAAAACATGCAAGCTCCGTGCCACAGAACCGCCTCGCGCTTATATCTCTCCAGCTGTGATTTTTAGACAGTCGTATACCGTTGCAGATTTCCGGTCAGACGGTGAGTAGTAAATTTTTTTTTTGTCGGCTAATGCGAATACCGTGTGCGTGAGTTTAGTGTTAAAGGTTTGTCGTTACTACCTAAAAAACGGGGTTTTTTAGGTAGTAACGACGTTACTACCTAAAACGTTAGTAACGACGTTAGGTAGTAACGACGTTACTACCTAAAAAAGCGTGGCCCGTGGGCCGCATGCGGCTCGTTTGGGACGATCGCACGTGGCTCGTTTGGAACGCGGGTCGTTTGCACGAAAAAATGCACATGCGAAATGCACATGCACATGCGAAAAAATCTTTCGCATGTGCATGAGCTACGCGGACGTGAGTGGTCTCAAACATTGTTTCCACGAGGCAACCATCGTGGTCACGGTGCGCTGGAACATAACCTTAAAACCGAATTCGTCCGACGCGATGCTGATAGCCGTTGCGGTGTTTCGCTGCTCACGCGAAGGTTGCTGGTTAGCTCCGGGCCGCGACGGTCACATTTCGGTGGAAGTGGAGAAATGCTATCGTGTACCGTGCGATGCCAGTGGTGCTCGTTGACGTGTACACCAGATGATCGAAATTTCACGAGCCCCTTTCCCATGCGACGCGCCTCATAATTATATCGTGGTCTTGGCAAGTAATAATCGCGTATGTAAATTGTTAAACTTCTCCAGAGTAAGTGTACGAACTACACAGTCATGAATGACTGATATGAAGCATTACTTTCGTGAAGCAACCGTCGTATTCACCGTGCGTTGAAACGTAGCCGTGGAACTCGAAGCTGTATAGTTCAGAACCAGCGTCCAAACTGTTGTAATTCTGGAGATCGGAACTTCGCTCGCGTTTGGCTTGCGTTTCGATAGAAGCGATATGCTAGATCCTCGTGTTTTTTTTATTTGTTACGGTGTCATTGCACACTAAAAAATTCAAAGAGATTGAAATTACGCAGAACCCTCGACTACGGCGTCTCGTAGCCTCAATTTGTTTGATACGTTAAACATTGCAAACAGACCAACCTGAATCTGTGTCTTCCACCACAGGTGATTCTGCGTTTTCTTCCACCCTCACATCAGTTACGCAGGCTGTTTTTTTTTTCAATTTTCTGCAGTACAATTTTAAAATAAAATTGCTGTGACAGTCAGCGCCCCATCGTTTTTGCAGAGAACTCTACGCCGAGCTCAAGTTCGGTTTCGCCTAGGTCGGGTCTTGAATTTTGATGACTATTAGTATTATCCTAAACTACGTGCGTTTCTTGCAATTTGTTTTTTAGAAAATGGCCGTGTCACAAATTATCACGTCCTACAGGAACAGCACTCAAGCTAATAATCAAAAAGTTGATTTATTATTTCCTTAACTAGCTCATTTGGGTGTTCCTTTAGGTGTGGCAAAAGCTTTTTCCGCCTCGACGTAGGTTTCGTTTGCGAGAACGAACAGGGTTTGGACTGCCATAAATTTTATATAAAACATCACTGTTGCCTGAAAAATAAAATAAAGCCCTGCAGGTAAAATAAAGGTGATTTTGCCGGTAGATTGGAGCCAAAAGAAAGGTTTGGTAACATTGGTGTCTCGCACACATGAACAGCGCGTCCATGCCCGGAAAACGTTCGGTGCGGCACACCATGCGTCAGCTCTCCTTTCCTTCTCTCGCTTGTTTCTGGGCAAACATATTCAACAATATTTAACACTTTGTACATGAGTGGCTAGTTCACGCCCCGCCGCGGTGGTCTAGTAGCTAAGGTACTCGGCTGCTGACCCGCAGGGCGCGGGTTCGAATCCCGGCTGCGGCGGCTGCATCTCCGATGGAGGCGGAAATGTTGTAGGCCCGTGTGCTCAGATTTGGGTGCACGTTAAAGAACCCCAGGTGGTCTAAATTTCCGGAGCCCTCCACTACGGCGTCTCTCATAATCATATGGTGGTTTTGGGACGTCAAACCCCACAAATCAATCAATCAATCAGTAGCTAGTTGACACTTTCGTAGAAACAAGAACCGATCGTGGTGCTAGAAATAAATAAAAAAAAAACGAACGACAAAAAATTGCGGAGCTTGCGCTAAACCCGCTAAGGTTCGAAATAACAAAACTGGAGGACTCTGGAGACTATAATTTGGTTGATTCTACTTCTAGTTGTCTCTAGGCCGGAACTAGGTGACGCAGGTTATTTCTAGGTTGCATCTACGTTTTCGCTATAGGCTTTAGCTTGGTTATGCGCAAGTTTTTTTTTTTTTTTTTTGTGCGCGGATTATCAGCCCAGAGAGGGCCGAGTCGAACCAGAGACAGTCAGACACGACACAGTTGCCCAAACTCCAGAGATAAACTCGCGCTGAAACCGAGCGTTCGCACTTCTCAGGGCTCGTTCAGACGGCCGTCTAACTACCCGTCTCGTCACCGTCATGGCACTTTTTTACGTTAGGGGAGAGGAGGTACGAGCCGTTTTCTCTTCGAAAACGGGATGACGGCGACGTTAGATTGATATGTGGGGTTTAACGTCCCAAAACCACTATATGATTATGAGAGACGTCGTAGTGGAGGGCTCCGGAAATTTAGACCACCTGGGGTTCTTTAACGTGCACCCAAATCTGAGCACACGGGCCTACAACATTTCCGCCTCCATCGGAAATGCAGCCGCCGCAGCCGGGATTCGAACCCGCGCCCTGTGGGTCAGCAGGCGACGTTAGAGCGATGCTGACCGGTACGTCGTCGTTGGCGTATTGCTCTCACCGCCTTGTGTCTTCTCGCTGGCACCGTTGCATTTCCCGTTCCCTATAGTATTGCCTCGTTGTACGTACTCGGGGTCTTCGGCTCAAGGCCTTCGCTTCACCGCAATTTGTTGGAATAACTCGCCTCCTTTATTTTTACGAGACCTGCGGTGAGTAAAGAAAGGGGGGGGGGGGGGGGCGTTATCCAGTTTTCGGGGCACATAACCGTTTGGGAGGGTTGTACTGTTTTCGTGCGCTGCACAAATTACGGCTGAGATAAAAGGTTTCGTCGTTAAAGAAAATTCATTTTAACGCCGCGAAAATGATCACATAGTGAAGCTGTAAGTGCGTGAATGTAATAGATGATCATAATCGTTGTCACCATCATCATTATTCGGAAGGTCATGATCGTCATCACTTCGCTTTAATTATTTAATTATTACTCCCCCTTGGCCATGTGACCTACCTTGCTACTACTACTTAGTGCTACTACTATTTCTGCTACTGCTGCTGCTGCTGCTACTACTACTACTACTACTACTACTACTACCACGACTACTAAAAATGTAGTACTACTTAGTATTACTACTACTACTACTACTGGTAGTATGAATACAATTAACTACAAATTACAGCAATACTTATTATTACTATTAATACTACCACTGCTATGACTACTACTACTAATACTACTACGACTACTACTAATACTAATACTAATGCGACTACGACGGTGATAACTAGGACGGCAAATGATATAGACTAAGACAACTTCGCGGTAAACAAGCCTTGAGAATGTCTGGGGCGAGCTATTCGTAGTTGTGCCACTTGCGCGGCAGAATAAGGTAACCTGACCTTGGTTGTAATGGCGTGTTTTACCCGTGTTTCGTGCAGCGATGCTCACGCTCAAGGTGGTGGTGGTCGGAAGCTGCGCCTGCGGGAAGACCACGCTGATACGAACTTTCCTGCGCGATGACGTCAGAGACTCCGTGCCCGCGCCCACCGTCCAGGAAGTCTACGTCGGCCACATGCAGCACGACGGAAAGAAGGTGCGACCGCAGCACCGCCTTCTCTATGCTTTCGTAACTGCGCTGATATATATATATATATATATATATATATATATATATATATATATATATATATATATATATATATATATATATATATATAATGAGATATAACAGACAGTAATGCCAAGGAATGTACAGGGGAAGTTATTAACATTAATGGAATGTAAATAAGAAGAAAGAAAAGTGGATGAAAAAATTACCAACTGTAAGCAGGAATCGAACCTACGACCTTCGAATTCGAAGGTCGTAGGCTCGATTCCTGCTTACAGTTGGTAATTTTTTCATCCACTTTTCTTTCTTCTTATTTACATTCCATTAATGTTAATAACTTCCCCTGTACATTCCTTGGCATTACTGTCTGTTATATCTCATTATTATTGTGTTAAAAACACGGAAAACGAGCCCTTAGGTATACACTTCTTTCCCTTATATATATATATATACATATATATATATATATATATTATATATATATATATATATATATATATATATATATATATATATATATATATATATATATATATTATATATATATATTGTGCACTATAAGTATCGTTTCTCCCTTTCTTTTTATTCCCTTATGAACCCTGCTATCCACTTGTGTATGAGCATCAAGTCGATGCTCTAATGGGAGGGGGAATAATGCCACCTAGAGTTGTGAGCCGGCAAGCCCTAGCGAGCCGAAAAGGGCAAAGAGAACGAAGAAGTGTGTGTTAGCGCTTGGTTTAAAGATACACGCTCGTGTCTTTCTGCCCCGCTGTTCCTGTCTTGTCTTCACGGCTCTTGGTGCGTGACAATATATATATATATATATATATATATATATATATATATATATATATATATATATATATAATATATATATATATATATATATATATATATATATATATATATATATATATATATATATAGTAAGCCGTTATTGTAAACAAAAATCGCTCGCATCTGTGAACGTACGATTCAACTTTAAATTTTGGTTCCCGGAGGCGAGAATCGCGATCGCGAATACATTTTATTAAGAGGTGTGAATAAATTGAGAAAGATGTAAAGTAGTACCGCATTAATTTTTTTCCGGCCAGATAGAGAAAAAAAATGGCAGCATATCCACGGAGTGAATGATGGAGAGTGGGGCGAAGAATTCGTCCGTCCATTCGTTCTTGCTTCCGTCCGTCCATGCGTCCGTCTGTGTGACCGTCCATGCGTCCATCCGCCCGTCCGTACGTGCGTCTGTTCGTGCGTCCCTCCCTGCGTTCGTCCATGCAGCCGCCCCTGCGCCAGTTCATGCGTCCATCCATGCATCTGTCTATGTGTCCGTTCGTCCATCTATTCAACACTCTAAGTACCACCATCTCGCATCTTTTCATCATATATTCCCCATATAGAAGCACCGCCATCCAGCTGACATTCCAAGGACTAAACGAGAGGTGGCACATGCACACTTTCTTACGGCTTGCGCTTCGGGTCCACTTCCCACCTTTAACCACCTCGAGTTCATGGTATATACTAGTTCACTGTATTCATGGCACTGCAGCCGAACGCTCGCTAAACCTTTCGAAAACCAAGGAGGTTACGCCCAGCGAGTATGACGTAGCAAACTTTTTCAGTCAGATAGTGCTCAATGTACATGCCAATGGCTACTAATGGGGAATGAGAGGCGGAGAATTCGGCTTTTACTTTCTTACGGCTTGCGCTTCGTATCTACTTCCCATTTTTAACCACCTCGAGTTCATTCATGGTATATACAAGTTCATTGTATTCATGGCACTGCGGCTCAACGCTCGTTAAATCTTTCTAAAGCTAAGGAGGTTACACCCAGCGAGTATAACGTAGCAACCCTCTCTTGTCAGATAGTGCTCAATGTACATGTCAATGGCTGCTAATGGGGAATGAGAGACAGGAGCATTCGGCTTTTAGTTAACGCGCAGGCTGCGATCACCATTAACATCCATTGACATGTACAGTGAGCAGTATCTGACAAGAAAGGAGCACTATTTTTTATTGTTCAACAACGCACAGAAGAAGTCTCTCACCGGCACCACCTTGGAGGTCAAAATGTTGTGCTTGTTACATACTACGAGGGACGAACGGGTGCCGCTATAAGGAGCTTCGCCCCTAAGAAGTTTATGAGAAAGCTCGAGACATGAATCACGCTCATTTTTGTCGGCTAACCTGCAGCTGGATAGAGAGAAAATGAACATCATCCGGAGGAAAGTGCTGTCGCACCGGGCACACAGACGTATAGATAAGCTTAAAGAGGCACTAAGAGCGAGTGTTAAGTTGAGCTGGATTGTAAAATTAGGCTTGCGCAATAAAGTCTGGCGTGGTGGTGTATGACAGTTACGGTGCCCGCCTTCTGACCCGTAGGTCGCAGGTTCGATCCCGGCAAAGGCGGTCGTATTTCGGTGGAGGCGAAATGGTATAGTCCCGTGTACCTTGCAGTCTCAGTGCACGTTAAACAACACCAGGTGACCGAAACTTCTGGAGCCCTCCACTGCAGCGCGTCTCATAACCATATTGCGGTTTTGAAACCTACAATCCGAGATATTATTATTATTATTATTATTATTATTATTATTATTATTATTATTATTATTATTATTATTATTATTATTATTATTATTATATAGCTTTCGGGTGCCCGCTGATTCGCAGAAATTGGCCGCCGAAGCGGTGACGTCAAGTCGGCGTAGGTTATTCAAGTTCACCAGCGGCACGAGGGACTTTAAATAATCTTGATCTCTGGCGCGAAATAATTCGATTATTGGCGCGATACACTGAAACGCAAGGGGGAACGTTAATATAACCACGAGATCGATACTTTTTTACCGTACTTTTAAGGGACTTCGCTGCTAAAAAGAACAATGGCTTTTATAATCTCCCGAGATCACAAGGACGTGCACGCTAGTAGTCTGCTATCAACAAAACAAGGTAGTGGCCCACTTCGTGGAACTGAGTGTTGACTATTTAACCGTGTTTTTGAATCTGTCCGCACTTTAAGGATCCGGGTTGCCATCCGTCCATCTCAGTGGGGCACGATCCCGCTCGAAATCAAGCGGCCAGGTACAGGTTTACAGCGAGACTGTAGCAATGTTCGAAACCGGGTTTAAAGAACGAACGAGGTCTAAGACAGTTTAAGTGAACCGACGTGACCCAGAAGTAATCGAAATAGTTAACGTAAGACGTTTCGCGAACACTTGGCCGACGCCCGTGCCGCGCAATAGAGGGCGCCAGCGCCTCGTCTAGTGCATGGTTGCGCCTCCCCGTGGTGCCTTCGTCGCAACATCTGAAGAAGGGAACAACCTCACAGAACTCGTTGCAGACGCAGCATATCTCAACTGCTATAACAAGCAGGCACTCGATAAAACGCTGCAAAAAGTAGTCTTTCAAGAAAGTTCTGGGCATGCGCGGTACATACGCTGTTGTGTGGGCTATCGTATTACTTTCCTCTCTTTTCTTCTTTCCCTCCAATTTATTCCTTGCCCTGTGCAGGGTAGCAAACCAAGTGCAACCTGGTTAACTTCCCTGCCTCTCCTTTGTTTTTCTCTCTCTCTCGCTACCAATACTGCAATCATGCCAGAGAAACCCTTCATCGCCCCGTCGCGGTGGTCTAGTGGCTAAGGTACTCGGCTGCTGACCCGCAGGTCGCGGGATCGAATCCCAGCTGCGGCGGCTCCATTTTCAATGGAGGCGAAAATGCTGTATGCCCGTGTGCCCAGATTTGGGCGCACGGTAAAGAACCCCTGTTGGTCAAAATTTCCGAAGCCCTCCACTACGATGTCTCTCATAATCATATGGTAGTTTTGGGACGTTAAACCCCACATATAATAATAAATATTGCGAAACCCTTCTTGCTTACTTCAGTCACTGACGTCACTGGTATTTTGTTAAACGGCGCAAGTGGCACTGCGAACGGGAATTGTCGGGCACCCGTGCTAAGAGCTTCCTCAGATTTAACACTTGTAAAGCTTCATTTATTTTTCTTTTCTTTTTTTGCGATGCAGTAAACAAAGTTTGTCTCGCCGAACCTACCTCCTCCCCTTATCACTGATATACCATTTTCCACATGTCAGCAACTGAGTGACGTCGTGTATGGTGCAGGTCCGGCTGGTCATCTGGGACACGGGCGACTCGGACCTTCTTTGCGACCCTCACCGGGCCTCGTGCTACGCCGAGGCCGACGTGGTGCTGGTCTGCTTCTCGGTGCGCGACATCTTCTCCGGCAGCGAGGTGCCCACGCGGTGGGCCACCGAGGTGCGACACTTCAACCCGAACGTGCCCGTTCTATTGGTCGCCACGCAAATGGTGAGCACGCGCGACATTGCAGTGGCTCATTTTACACGTGAAGTCATGGTGTAGGAGCAGGTCACTTAGTATCACATATAGAAAAGGTTCAGCGATGTACAGCTTTGTATGCTGAAATCTTTCGGGCAAAATTTGTGCTATTTATGCATGGAGAAAATGAAATCGAGAAGGGGTGGGGCGGTTGGTGGGCACGGGCCCGGACTGCCACCTTCTGGCTTACACCCCTGGCGCTGAAACGTACATCAAGCAAGAAAAGTTCAGCGGCCGTTGCCTCTTCAGCAAACGCGATTTTTTTTTTTACCTATCAGTGTGTAATGCTCCCTGTCTAGCTCGGGACGCATTAAGTTGTAATTCCAACTGCAGGCAGGAACATTTACTTGGTGGTCGTGTTTACAGACAAAGCGATGTTACAGTTTTATTGAGCATTTTGCTTACCACAAACATTTGCTATTGGGTGTACACACACGACCAAGAAACAGCAAATACGAGCGCAGACTTTCAACTGTTGTTTATTGCAGCAAGGGTATTATATCATGCACACGTGATCAGATCTACACCTTCTATACGCCATCACGACAGATTTGACAAAACAGCAGTGTTGGCCACTCACCCTGATTAAAACACTCAAGAAATCATCATTGAGGCTCACTACGTTCAAACTTGTTTTTCAGTTACAATATAACGCCAGCAGAGGCTGATATAGGTGTTATAAGTCACGCTCAGCACTGATACCGTGGATCACGTAATGTATCACACGGAGGCGTCCTCTTGCTTTTTTTTACATCACAGGACCTGCGCGAGGACCCCGTGACCGTCCACGAGCTGGCACAGATCAAGTGCCGGCCCACGAGCGTCGCCGAGGGCCTACAGCTGGCGCAGAAGATCCAGGCGGCTCACTACATCGAGTGCTCGTCGCTAGACCTAGCCAGCGTGCGCAAGGTCTTCGAGAGCGTACTCCACACATGCCTCAGGGTGCGCAGCGTTTTTTGTTATTCAATTTTTAAGCAGCACGAGAAACTACAGTTGCGTACGGCTTTAGAAGCCCGCGACACTTCCTCCTCAGAGGCGGTTGCACACAAGCCGGGACCAACGGGCGCGCACTCCAGACTGACGTCATGAGTCAAATGGCTCGTGACCACGCCTACGGAGAATATTGCCGTGTGCATGTCATGTCGTGGACGTCATCGGCTTCCACGATTCAGTCATGTGGGCAGGACATTCTTGGCACTATAATCGAATCAAAACAGCCCTTGTTAACCGAGCTACGAGTAATAAATAGGTACCTTTTCCCTCCCCTCCACATTTCACACTCGATAACCTCAACTCTTCCTTCTTGCACTCGGGGCTAAGCTTTTCCTTCACGGGACCTGTGCTATGCGTTTCACAGCCAATCAGACAAGGAGCCACGGTGACGTCCACGATGCAGAGCATGTCGCTCTGTGAACGGGCGGTTGAAAACGCGTTTGGCGGAGTTGCAGAGATCATCAGCGATTTGAAGCAGCTCTAAAGCGTTGTGATAAATTATGCAGTTTATGCAGAGAGCTCAAATTGGTTCGTAAATGACCCTTGGGATTTTGTCTACCGGCCTAATGTGTTTGTACAAATTCATCAAAACCATTTTAGGATCCTTTTGATGTCATCTGCCTGGCTAAGTTCCTGTCTCCCCCTCACGTATTTGCCTTCTCTTGGAATCTAGTACTTGTAGCGATGGCGTAGAAATAGAGCATCAGCCTCGCATGCTAGAGGTTCGTGGTTGAAATCAAACTGTCGTGTAATTCCCAAATGGATTAAAAAGAATCACAGCATATCCAGGAAGTGAATGATGGTGAGTGGGCGAAGCAGTGTGATCGGTCAGTATTACCGTAAGTCACCCGTGACATTGACCACTCACTCATGTAAATGAGTGCCAAGCACTGTACAGTTATATGCAATGTTTATTGGCCAACTCGTAACTGGTATGTCGTGTTGAGTTAGGAATTTCGTTTCGCTCATTATTACTGCTTCGTGGTATTGGATCTAGCCTGATGCTTGGCAAAGATGAGGTCTGTGCACGTTTTCCTAGTTGTTGTCGGTTGTTTCCAGTCATACAAAATGCATCGTAGAGCACATCGAGGCGTCATATACTGTACAAGCCAGTCGTTGTCCGTGATAACCATAGTCATCATTATCATCAGTGACATTGCGTATACCGGGTACCTTGCATGTCCTGTGCCGCGATGGCAGAAAGAGAATGTATACTCAGGAACGCGCTTGTGTTTCATTGTCATCAGAATCATTGTCATCATTGTAAGCGGTGGCTACAGCGTACACATACGGGGAAGCCGCGACCTTAAGGAGCGCCTCCCTTGTAAAAGATCTGCATGATGATGAACTGCATAGAAAGGCCTGGGGTGCGGGCTCACTGGGGACCACAGCAGGAGTGGTCACCCTGGTGCAGTACTTGGCCACAGCCTCCCATACGAAGGAACCATTAGACTGTTGTGACACTCCTCTCTTCCAAATGCTTCTGTTCAGCCACTTACTGCTAGTTCGTGTTAAGACTGAGGGTGCAAACAGGGACATCGGAGACAAATCGAGAGAGCCCAAGCGTCCACTAACAGGGGTCTCTACACTTCTCTCTTAAGTCCATGCTGGCATGCTCGGTCTCTTAACATGATTGCCTATGGACCGTGCAGATGAGCTCTCTGTTATCTAACTCTTTCTTTCGGTTTTCCTAAGATCCAGGAATGATGTTGTAGAAAAAAAAATAAATGGTTCGGAATCGATAGTTCTGGTTGAAGTGAAGAGTTATATTGGATACGTATTGTGTAGTTATATTATATTGGATATGTATTGTGTAGGAACATATGCTTAGTTCATATCAGGCCCAATTGACTGTAGAGATAAGCTAATGAAAATAAGCTAAACAATGACGAGTACATAAAAGGTGGTTTAGCTCCCCCTTTCTCGCCCAGCCCCAGCTAAATATTTTTGGGAACCCCTCAGTGTACGCGGCTTTTCCTCTTCCCCTTTGTTTCTTTAAGGCTGTAAATGTGGAGGATAACTTTGGTTAAGCAATGGCAAACGACATGTAAACAATTTCCTGCGCTCTGAATGCATCGTCGCTAACGTCTTACCAATGTACGCTCTCCCCCTTTTTTTTGTAGACTACACAAAGTAGACAGAAGAAGTCCAGATGGAAGCGCCTCTGCTGCTGCTGCTGCCCTTGACGTCATCACGCGTAGGACAACGATTCCTCTCGATCTAGTCAAGTGACATGCGGGGGCCAAAGAATCGAAAACGGCGGCATTTTTGGCCGCGGACAGGCTTTTAGCTGTACATTCCAATCGACGTTCATTCTTTTATTGCACGAGACGCCAGCGCACTCCTTGTTGTCACACGACTGCCGCCGCGTGTTTCCGTATTCTAAAGATTTCATTGGTGAATTTTCAGTAACAGTCGCATCCTGGAGATTCACATGACCCGGCCTGAAACATGACCTAGGGACGTCATGTGACTCGCGTGACTCTTGTGTGAAGTCACGAGGCCAGACAAAAAGCGTCACCGTTGAGGGGTGGTCACTCGCGCCAATCTTGTGAAACCTCGTGAGACTCGAAACCGCGAGTCATGTTGCACGACCAGGAGCGGCACCGTGTGACATCCTGGGACTCGTGTTACTTTTGTGTGATGTCATGGGATTCAGTTCCGGGAATCATTTGGCTCGACCAGAAAAGGTACCATGTGACTTATGTGACTCTTGTGCTGCGTCATGTGATTCACAATTGGGAGGGTCACGTGACCCCACAAGCAACGTTCCGGTGGGACGTCGTGTCACTCACCTGACTTCATGGTATTCAAATCTGGTAAAGTCGTGTGACGTGACCATAAAAGTCACTGTGTGACGTCATTGGACTCGCGTTGCTCTTGTGTGACGTCATATGACTCGTAACCTGGAGAGTCAATTGACCCCACTAGGGACGCGCACGTGTGTCGTCTTGTCACTCATGTGACTTGCGTGACTTCATGGGATTCAGCACTGGTAGAGTCATGTGGCGCGACCAGGAACGTCACCGTGTAAAGCCATTGGACTCGTGCGTTACTCTTGTGTGACGTCGTGTGGTTCACAGTCACAGGACCTCAACAAGAACGTCACCTTCTGGGGTCACGTGACTCACACGACTTCGTGTGAGTCACCTTCTGGGGTCACGTGACTCACACGACATCGTGTGACGTCAGGCGATTAACTACCGGGCTAGTCACGTGACCCGACCAGAAGTGTTACCGTGTGTCATGCGACTCGCGTGGCTCTTGTGTGACGTCACATGGCTCTTCCAGATGTGACGTCGACCGGAAGTTCCTCCATCGCGTTTTTTGGAACATGGAAACAAGCCCTTCCGCCTGTACTTAAAGCGTGTTCTTGTGAACGACGTGCCTTTATATATATATTTTTTTGCAAGTGACCTGATATTTCAAGAGGAGGTATTTTTACCAAATATCTTTATCGGGAAAATTATTTATAGCTTATGTATATATTGCAGCATGCTTTGCTTGCGAGTCACTTAACGATGTCCGCAGGGTACAGCGATGTTGTTTTCTGTTAATGATTGTGTGATATGCGAGAGCTGTGTTGTTACAGTTGTGACATGTCACTTATGAGTCTCGCAGATAATGGAGAACACTCGCGTAAGAGTCAAGTTCGCAAACGAGAGTAAGAGAGATGTGATACTTACGTTAGTACCGGGTTGCGGGGCCAATTTTACGCGAGTTTCGACGAAGCTTGACGAAGACGTATGTGCACGTTGATGTTTTTAAGACAAGTGTTCATAAATGTTTATTTATACCCAGGCTACATTGTGTGTTGTATTTTCCGAATCTCATAAAGTTGTGACGTAGAATTAAAGTCGACAGGACTTGGGTCCCTATGGTGATAGTTTGTTAAAAGCTTTAGAAATAAGTTTAGTTATAGTGATGGTTCCTTAACTTAGTTGCCTACCTCCTAGTAGATGTACCCACATTAGCGAAATAAAAGGGTGAGGTGGCTGAGCTTAGGTACTGTGTATAAAAAAGGAAAAGTTTTTCTTTGCTGATATCGACGGTCTTGAAACACTTCAAGAGACGTTGTAATGGTATGAAACGATGCGACCTTGTTCATGGAGATATTGTACAATGGCTTATATTACTGAACATTTTAACTCGCCTGACGAGGTCAGGTAACAAACAGTTACTAATGGTGGAGATTAAACCTACTCCACGCAGATGGCGTGACGGATGCCAACCATCACTCCATGAACTCGCAGCAGAGATGAGCAGCGAATAACACGGAAAGATGAAATTAAGACGTTTGACGAAGGAGTGACCAAATAGTGAATTTTAGAACCGAATCGTTTACGAATCAAATTGTGATGGTACCTAATCAAATACTATTTGAATAGTTTTCGAACAAGCAATCATTTTCGATGCAGCCTTAGAATGAAAAGGTAATCTTCAAGAGAACCAAGAAATGCTAAATTGTTTTATTTGAAATAAATATTCACATGATTTAAAGCAACTTCTGATCAATAAAAATACAATTATTTAATTAAGGCTAGCTTGTATACAGCAGCAACTAGATTGATTATTGAAATAACCTTATTGAGCAGCAACTAGAGCTTTCGATATATTTTGTAACTGCAGACAAATATAGCTGTGGCTAAATACTGAACACGGTAACTTTCCTGTAGCTTTTGAGCAAGACTGCCACATTTAGCACTTTTCGTGAGTTATCCTAATGAATGTCATGGTGAAGATTTTGGATTGATGACACACCGCTCCAATGATACTTCGGCACAAGCGCCTTCATCCCGTGATCAATATTGCGTCGATGATCCCTTAAGTGCATCAGTTGCATGAAAAATGAAAATTTCCCTCGCTGTTATAATGCCGTTTCTTCAAGCATTTTTCATAGCTGATTATTCAAAAAAATATTCGGCACTTCGAACATGCGCTGTTCAAGTAGGTTACAGAATCAAATAAAACTTTACCCGAAAAATTTCCAATAGTCGCATGAATGGGATGAGTACGTATGCATGATGGGGTAAATTGGAGTTCACTGGAAGAGGCATTCGACATGCAGTGGACATAAGAAGCCTTGATGATGAGTGGATCCCGAAGTTTCACGGAGACGCCCCGCCGCGGTTGTCTAGTGGCTAAGGTGGCTGTGGCGGCTGCATTTCTGATGGAGGCGGAAATGCTGTAGGCCCGTGTACTCAGATTTGGGTGCACGTTAAAGAACCCCAGGTGGTCGAAAATTCTGGAGCCCTCCACTACGGCGTCTCTCATAATCATTTGGTGGTTTTGGTACGTTGACCACCACATATGAATCAAGTTTCACGGTGAGAAAGCTTAGTTTTACGATGCTCTACACTGACACCAACGAGTGACATGCATACGGTCGCACCTCCATGTGCAGGTTTCCGACACACGTAACGTAGGATATTCCAACGCGCGCAATTACATATTTTTTGATAGGATATGACTGTTTGCCTATGAAATGAGAAGTCTTAGCATGTTTCATGCCGACGATCTTCGGAGAGCGCAAAGTTCAAGAGATATTCATGTCGAACATGATGAGCAAAAAAAGCAATGCAACCGTCCCGCTAGCCGAAAATGCCGCCCGGGTCCAAGGACTTCCAGCGGTCACCCGAAGCACCGGCACTGCCATCACAATCGAGAGAAGGGGAGAACATGGTTTAATCCGCCCCCCCCCCCTCCGCCTAGTCTAATAAAAACTGCCGGAATTTAAATGAAGTCCATTCTTTCATTCATTCAACTTCCCGAGTTATAATTCCATCGAGTAGACGACCATCGTCTACTTCGACATCCAACATGCGCATCATCATAATAAAAACACCGCTTGCGTTGGTTCTCTGTAACAGGGATGAGTACCACCGTAGCGACTACACAGAACAACACGTCAAAACACAGGTTTTATTCATCACAAGTAGAGTAAAAATCTAGTATATACAGTCTATAAGTCCAGCTGTGTCATAAAAAATGTTAAAAAACAATTAGCTTGGGCGATTTCGGAAAGGAAATGAATTCGTCCACAAAACAATACATTGCGCACAGACCTCTTCGACACAAACGTGCGTGTTGCGAGCTTTTAGCGCATCTCTAAACTTTTATGTCGCGTCTCTCAAACATACGCTGAAGATCAGCTTGCTGAATTATGCCCGGATGCAATGTTGTGTACTTGACATGAGCTGTTTGTCTCAGACTAACGGTTTGTGGCCTCAAAAAAAAAAATTTTTCTTTGAAAGAGGCAGACATCAAGGTGGAACACAACATCAGTATGGAGCAAGTGGGTACTTGTTCAGAGAAAATGCGCCTCAAACGATAGCCAAGTCTTTTTGTATCGTGAATGTGAAAACGCGCTTACAACTGAAGAACAGTGGAATTAAGGCTCAAGACAGCCGAATAGTGAACTACGCTTTAATAATCTAGAACGTTACATCTGTGATGTGCTTCCGGAGCGCGTTTTTAGCCTACCAAATCGTTTTAATATACGCTATACACTCTACGTAACTCTGCTTAGCGCATTCACGCACCACGGTAAAATCAAACGCGAACAGCTAGCAGTGTTGATCTTGCGTCCGATGTTTCTTCGAATGCCCGAGTCCATCTCCTGAGCTGCGCGTAAGAGTCGCAAGCGTCGTCTTTTTCGTCGCTAGCATGCAGTTTAAATGGTTGATTGCGTCGCCCGGTTTCCAGTGGATACTTGAACGCTAGAGAGAGGCTGCAGGATGCGGGAGTTGCATCCCAGGATGCAGGGACTGGATCCTACGCGCCGATTACCTGCTCAGGTACAGGATTTGCAGAATAGCCTGAGGAAAAGGTTTGGCTTCTTCCGCTGAAAACGAAAAAAATAAGGTGTATAATAAAAGAGTGCAGAAGAGAAAAAAAAGGTGAGGATATAATGACAATACACAAGATTCATCACGCAAACTAGCAAGTTCCTGCGAAAAGTTGCGTCTGGAATCTTTCGTATATGTCCGCTGTACACGGGGACATGGCTTCACAAAGAACCCCTGTGCAGTTTTACACAGTTCATTCGGAGTGAACTTCTGTAGGCGAATCAGGCAAAGAAATTCTGACGGATGCATAGACGCCTTTCGTGTTTCGTAATGCAAAAAGCACCGGCAGTTTTACGTCCACAACCCTCCCGAAATCGGGTGTCCACAACGTCGCGGCCAAGTGCGACGTTGTTATAGCGCTTTTCATTCTGAAGTGTAGCCATAAACGAGCACAAAGAAACAACCAAACAAGGGAGAGCTCTTATCGGCCGTCTCAGCTGGAAGGCAGTGGCTCGGACAGCACCGACCGACGACCTTGCAGCTTGATAACATCGTGGACACGCTGATACTATGGCGCTGCCTACTGTCTAGCTTCCAGGACAGAATTATTTCTGTCCCGAAATAAATGTTTCTAGCAGGATTCCATCGTCAGACTACTGTCAACTAGCTCCTTCGAAGATAATTCCTTCGTCCTGAAAGAAGTATGCCCTGCAGGAGTCCCTCGTCAAACGTAGACTCACCCCCGTATTCACAAACGCTCCTCGAATCGAATTTCACCCTTCACTTGACAGAACTGAGCACTGCGCTGCTGCTCTGCTGAAAACGGCACGGCGCTACTCAAGAATAGCAGCAAATTATCCCTGACACGCAGTGACTTGCCTTGCCTAAATATGGCGCTCCCGTGGGCTTTCTCAAGTGAAGCTGGAGTGTTAAGTGAAGGGGCGTCCTAGAATACGGGGATTACAACCGTGAGCGTCTTTCTTCCTCTAGTTAGACCATGTATTCAATAGCAATGCTCCCTGTCGATTCTGCGTAATAGTCTGCGAGCATAGGAAGTTTAGTATCCGAATTGAATGAAACGGGCATTACCTTTACTGCAGCTATTGCCAAGATCATTATTATTTCTTTAGAACTACCTGCGTAAAGGGGGGGGGGGGCGGATGTGTTCGATTGGGGCTTCGTCCCTCCCTCCCCGCTGAAAAAAAAAACCGCTAGACCTTACGCAAGTTGGGAAGCGATGTTGTGCGACGCATGTGCATGCAGGGTGCCTGCAGTAATTTTTAGTAATTTTTTATTAAGCGGAACGTTACGAACTTGCGCTAAAGATATGTGCGAATGCACACAGAGACACATTAAACAGCCGCACATGTTTTGAAGCATCAGTTGTTTATAGTTGCGTAACCATGCCAACAGCAACACGGGTATTAGCAAAGCCAGAAGCGGTAAGCTGACATGAAGCGCTGCGCTGCGCGAGGATCGTAGCCCTGGACACTGCTACATAAATTAAGCGAACGGCACCTCACTACACTCGATGTTAACCCGACGTGACGGCTGTACCGCAGGAGTACATATTTAATGTTTATAAAATTGGAAAGCTAGCACTGCAACCACAATCGGCGTTTCAAGAACAATAGATAGGATGTACTGAGACCTGGCATGGCTCTGTGGTAGAGAATGCTTGATTCACACGCGAAGTGCTATGGTTGGATTTCTGTTGGGACAATAATATTGTTATGTGCCTCTCACCTAGAGGATGAAGAAGTGAAGGACTAGGTGTGGCTGCTCTCGCCACCTTGGTTGTTTTTGGCCGCACTACTGTAGACCGTGAATATCGTGTAAATGATACGCCCGTTTTCTGTCATGCCACCACGTAATGGTAGACGAAGAAAATGCTCAACAGGGCAAACGAGTGGAGGGGATAGAAGAGACGAGAACAGAGCACTCTGTTCTCGTCTATTCTATCCCCTCCCGTCGGCTGCCGATGTCGGCTTTTTTTCTAAACGCTGAACGTTAACATTACCCATGTGTGCTCTCGCCGTTCCTGGACAGACAAAAACAACCAAACAACTGCGCGCAAGGTTTCCCTTTAAAGAGGGTGTCGCAGGTAAAGCCCCTGTATATACTTTTTTGCAAAGTACCGCCTATATCCTTTGACCAAGCTGCTGCCGCGCCCCTCAACCTCCTCTCCCGCCTGCCGGACCGCTAGTCAAGAAAGCTCACAAACATCGCGCGTCTTATCAGCGTCACAGGGCATTCTTGAAAGGAAAGTGGCGCGAGCAGCGCGTACGGTGGCCGTTTGGGAGAGGATATAGATAAAGGATATGGAGGAGAGTGTCGCTACTTTCTTTATATTAAGGAACTTTAATCGTATGCTGGTCGCAACGGCCCTCCTCTCCCTATTACGTCAATGCAAAGAGATGATTTGGTGCCCCCCCTCCCTCTGAGGTTCCAAAAAGGCGGCTGCCTTCCAGCCCCCTCCTCCCCTTTCCCCTTGCACACGCCTATACGCCTACGCCCATGGGTTATACAGGGACATTTCTACTCCAATCACGGATTACCAAAAGACATGATTTAAAACATATAGCATGTTTATTTCCTTTTTATTTATTTTTCCTTAAACTTAGTGCTCGTGCAGTTACGTCCTTTTTTTTCTTTTTCACCTATCGCTCCATTTTCGTCTTCAGATGGGCATTAACACACGGGTAATTTAACATTAGAAAACTGAGGGGAATGTATCGCCGAGTATCGGTGGGAAGGTATCGCAGAGTATCGCCAGCAGCAATTAGTAAAAAAAAAATAAACAAATATATGTGGGGAAGACATGGCTCACCCCGATAGCTAGGCGGCACGCCTTCTGGATAACCTCGACGACTCCGGCGCCGTCCTTGGCGGAGCACTCCATGTAGGCCTTGGCCTTGATCTTCTTGGCGACGGCCAGCCCTTCCTGGTACGAGACGGGGCTCTGCCTCCGCTCGCGAAGGACCTCGATGGTTTCCGGGTCGTTCCTCAGATCCTGGACGCCAAAAGGAATGCTGCCCTGAGTAACGCACTGTCGTATACAATTCACAAGTGTAACTGCCACAAGTGTAACTCCAATAAGCTTCGCACGTTGAAGGGTTCCGAAGGCCCGACCAGGGGTGTAGTAAAAAAAAAGGATGTCACTCCTCCCCCCCCCCCCCCCCCCCCCGACCTGAAATTTTCGCACTCGTACAAACATTTGCACACATGCAAACATGCGCACAAACGCACATAAAGTATAATATAGCGCCCCCCCCCCCCTTCGCCCGAAAAAAAGTTTGACTAAGTCCCTGGGCCTGACAGGTCCTTACACACAATGACCCCTAGCCTATATGACACATGCTGTAGTAAGTTTGATAAGTCGACAAGAATTTAAACGGGAGACGAATATTGCTTCGCGTTATCTATGGTCACAGGCGTGCAAGGAATCAGGCCAATATCTCTACTCAGTCGGATCTGTCCAATAATTGCCTACGGGATAGGGTTATAACCATGTATGTTTTGCACGATGATGGCGGCTGAGGCACCGCGGTGTCGCAGTCCAAGATTGGTTTACGTCCTACTTTACCGCATTTTAAAACTACGCTCCAAAGGCAGGCTATGTTGACCGGCTTCACTTTCGGATATATTATGGAGCTGGTTTTCAGTCGGACTAGTGATGGATGGATGGGGGGGGGGGGGAGGAACAACGAGGAGCCACTGTGATAAAATCTGCTCCTTGACTCCCCACCCCCCTCCCTCCGCACACACATTCCACACACGGCTACGCGTATTCTGTTGTTTTAGATGCGGAAGCATCTTATACTCGCGCCTTGTAGTGCGCCGTCCGCGCCGTCCGCACCGCTTCTCGAACATTCGACAGCTGACGCGCGCGCATGCGCCGTCGCGCCGTCGCCCACTCTTCCACCATCTGTGCATCCCTTCCTCCTCTACACGCCGCGCGCGCTTCACTCCTCCACCATCTGTGCACCCTTCCTCCTCTACACACCGCGTTCGACATCTACAATTCTCCTGATTCTACAGTGGACGCGCATGTGGCGTCGCGCTTCGAGAACATTCAACAGCTGACAGTGCATGCGCCGTCGCGCTGCATATATACTCAAGGTCGGCGCTTGCTCGCTCAGTTGCCGCTCGTCGGTTGGTTTGTACGGCGCGTCGACGTCCAAGGTCGCGGTGAAATGAATTCCAACGAATCCACAAACACAATGATCGCCGTCCCTTCGAACAGCGCCGCCCTTTCGCATACGTGTGTACGTGTTCACTCATTTAACACCCCCTCCTACAACCACGTTAACCAATTTAGCCATCGACCCAAGTAAGTCGCAATTTAACACCCCATTTCACAACCACGTTAACCAATTTAGCCATCGACCCAAGTAAGTCGCACTTTAACACCCCGTTAACCAATTATATGCTCCGCATCCTCCTCAGTGTTCCCCCGAGGGAAGCTGCGGGCAATTTTTTTTACCCTTGAAGACCTAACTGTGCATACACACAAATTGGAACAACAAGATGCATAACACAGGATATGTAGTGAAACCGAGGATGGTGAGGGTTAACTGAGGTGACAAAATTAAGAAGTTCGTGGCCGTCAAATGCAATGAATTCGTGAAGGGTAGGGTAAATTGGAGACCACTGGGAAAAGTTAATATTGCAGTAGGTTTAAAAATAGACGGTGAAGTTGCCGATTATTCCGTACAAATGTTATTGGGGTCTTATGCATATAAGAACTCATTAAAATCCGTGCAAAGAGAGAAGAAAAGTTTTCGAAATAATTTACCCGTATTGTGTGTTATTTAATCAGGTCTTGAAACTTGCATTAACACGCCGCAATTATAAATACCAGGCTTACTATGCCAATCAAGGGAATCTTCAATCAAAACTTCAATTTTGCCTATTCTTGAAATCCCTTTTACAAGCTATCAAAATAGCTTCTTGTTTCATTCAGTCATTGGGGCATTGTTTTGGTTTTCCAGTGACATGGAAAATGCCGCTATCTCCCATTTAGACCTTATCGGTGTACGACGGACCGCACTTAATGGGGCTATTCGTTTCGTAGTCAGTGCCAAGGTTTCTGGAGTGCGGCGAAACCCCGGACACAGCCGTTATGCCGGACATTGGTGCCGGGCAACTTGATGCCTCATCGTACCAATACGATCGGTCTTTTGTGTTGTGACAATGTCTCTCAGTACGGAAGTAAGAGAAAGAAGAGTACGGTAGATAATCCGCGTGCCTCGTGACGTATTAGAGAAGCTCCGGTTTTTGTGCGAGCTGTCGCCGATACCAGCATATCAAAGAAACTGCAGAAATAATAATAAAAAAAAACTGTCAGGGTCCCTTATTCATTCCCCGAAGATGACTTGAATGTGAAGGCCGTTGTACGCTTTGCAGAACTATCGCGAGTTTGGCTCACAATACTTCTGCTCGCGATACTCGGATGTTCATCGTAGAGAGAGAGAGAGAGAGAACACAAAGAGAAAGGCAGGGAGGTTAACCAGGGCTGAGCCCCGGTAGGCCACCCTGCACTGGGGAAGGGGAGAGGGAATGTTATAGAGGAGGAGAGAAAAGGTCACCGACTGGGCCGACGCGTAACAGTTTCACCATCACAAACGATGAAACAGGCCGGTGTCTGAGAAAATGCAGCGGTACGTTCGTTGTCTTTCGGAAATTGGATGGGCAGTGCCATGGTTGAATAACTAAGAACGCAACAGCGGGAGGTACAAGCAAAATGGTGGCTCATGCGTACCCTAGATATGACAGACAAAAAAATTAATGAGGTCTTGAGGGAATAGAAATGGGTTTTAGTTTTCTTCACAAATAACTTTAGCTGTGAATTTGAATTGAGTGTGTGTTTGAATTGAGTTTATTTTGCAACGAAGTTGCAAGGATGACCAGGAGAAAAAAGGTGCATTGAGCAGCTCGAGATAAACCTGGCCACCTTATACACTGGGCAACTTATCAATGGCCGAACAGAAGTATTCCGTGTGCAGGATGCATTCACTAACAAAACCGTAAAAGCAGTAAGCAACCATGGTCATAATGACCAGTGCTGTGTCCTTTTCTTTGTGACCCTGTTGCCATGTTACTCTATACATCTTCTGCGACTGTCTTCGCTCCAATACACAGCGAACATCTATAGCAGCTGCTCTAGCTGGCTTAAATCAGAGACCGACGACGCCAGAAACAATTCTAAAATGTCGACACGAGAGGACGTTGCAGGTGAAAGCCATGAAGGTGGTGCTCAATTTCTTGAAGGCAGCGGACTTGCACCAGCGATCATAAACTTGCTGTGCTATGGTGACTGACGTGCGATTTCATGTGCGTGCTCTCTCCCCCTCTCTCTCTTTAACCCCCCCCTATTCCCCTGTGTAGAGTAGCATACCAGTCCTCTTAAACTGGATTGACATTCCTTTGTTTCCTTACCCTCCTGTTCCTTCCTTCTTTTGTTCCGAGTCTGTCACACTGGTAGTGTTCACCTTTGGCGTTTGCGCACTCACCGTCTTGTTGCCTACCAGCAGGATGGGCACGTCGGGGCTGAAGTGCTTCACTTCGGGGCGCCACCGGACCTCGACGTTGTCCAGGCTCTCGGGGGCGTCCACGGAGAACACGATGATGACCACGTCGGTGTCGTCGTAACTGCGCGTGCGCAGGGTGTCGTACGTCTCCTGACCGGCCGTGTCGCACAGGCTGAGACGCACCTGCACGCAGTTCGAGGAACGAGCGACGCTTGATGAAGTTAAGCAGTTCAGATACGGCGCATCGACGTTATCTTACTCAGCTTGTGTACTGTCGCAGCGTTTCACAGAAAACGTCACAGAGGCCTGTTCCACGCGTTTACTATGACGCACTTGTTCAGCTATTGTTTGAAAAGCAAGGCTATGGTAGTGCAGTTTTTTTTTCATTGTTATGGTGGCCGAACGTCCCTGCAATCGCATTCGAAGAAATGCTTTATGAATTTCATCTTTACCCCCAGAGAGCCGGGACCAAAGGCGGGTCTTTACTAGAAGCTAACGGCGTAGCCAGGAGGTGGCACACCGGGCACGCAGGTCACGGAATCGAATCTGAACTGTGGCAGCCGATATTTCGCTTTAGGCGAAAATGCTCGAATCCCATGTGCTTCAAGCACTTCCAGACCTATGTTTAGAATGAAGTACCCTGTGCACGTGGTCACGAAATTTCCGGATCCCCTTCACTACGGCATGCTTCACCATCATGTTGTAATTTTGGGGCGTTAAACTGTCCCATTTAGCGTAACGTACGCATAGTTTGCGTTTGTTGGCTACGATAAGCAACTTTCTTCACTTATAACGTCGGTGCTCAAGATTATGTTGTACAACGCGCGAGCAGAGACGGCAAATGGTAACGCACCACCTTGCATGCTCTATTGCAATAATAATAATGATAACAATAGTACTATCTGGGGCCTTACGTCCCAAAACCACGATACGATTACGAGAGACGCCGTAGCAGAGGGCTCCGAAAATTTTGGCTGACCCTTTCTTTGTTTAAGGCGCACCGGTATCGCACAGTACGTGGACTTCTATAGCATCTCTATCGAAATGCGACCGCCGTGGCAGGGATAGCACACGCGATCTCGGGTCAGCAGCCGAGCGTATACCCTGTTCTACTATCTATCTGTTCTACTAACTACCTATCAATCTATTAACCTCAGTTTTCCAACTGGACCAGTTAGCCGCATTAGCCCCGCCGCGGCGGTCTAGTGGCTAAGGTACTCGGCTCCTGACCCGCAGGTTCCAATCCGGCTGCGGCGGCTGCATGTTGTAGGCCCGTGTGCTCAGATTCGGGTGCACCTTAAAGAACCCCAGGTGGTCGAAATTTCCGGAGCCCCCCACTATACCTATACGGCGTCTCTCATAATCATATGGTGGTTTTGGGACGTGAAACCCCATATATCAATCAGTCAAATCAGTTAGCCGCTTTAGAAGGTCGCAAAGGCCTACCTTCTTCTTGCCGACGGTGACCTCGGTGATGACGGTGTCGAACACGGTGGCCCGCACTTGCTCCGGGAAGACGCCCGTGATGTACGAGCTGATGAGGGACGTCTTTCCGCAGCCGCCATCACCGACGGCGACGAGCTTCTTGTAGAAGTCGATGGTCACCTCGGGCTGCTGCTGCTGCCCTTCCGGCTCGTCCTTCATGGACGTCCACGAAGCTCGGCAACCTTTTCTGCACATGGCGCGCGGTTATAGCCGGTCGCCCTTAGTGTGACGAGTTCGCGTTGCCGTTTCGTAGTGAATCGGCGCGGTTCCCGGGCGTGGCGCGTTTACGCCTACGTAGACTACACTATCAAAGACAGTTTGGCCCTCGGCGAAGTGTCTGCTTATATCACGAAGATAAACGTGTCCGTCGTATAGTTTATTTGCTATCTTCAGCAAATCACACTGCTTGTGTCGTGTCATCGAATCATCGTAGCGCCTGGGCGCCCCGGTGCGATTTCTAGAATATGGAATTGGGTATAACACGATGTTGGATTTTACGTCTCAAAACCATGATATGATTATGAAGGACGCCGCAGTAAAAGGCTGCGGAAATTATGACCACCTGCCGTTCTTTGACTGTCGTCGTCGTACCGTGCACGGGCTTTATACTATTTCGCATCCACCTAAATGTGACCGCCGTGGCTGGTGTCGAATCCACGACCTTCGGACAACATAACCGTTTTTCCCAAAGTGGCGGAAAAAGATGGAATTAGTGGCCCTGGCAACACTACGCTTCATTTTACTTAAAGTGCCTTTGGTTTTCCGAAAACTCAGAAAACTTCTTATGAAAGATATATGTATAATAATATCTGGGATCTAACGTCCCGAAACCACGATGTGATTATGAGAGACGCCGTAGTGGAGGGCTACGGAAATTTGAACCACCTGGGGTTCTTTAACGTGCACTTAAATTTATGCACGCGGGTGTTAAATATTTTCACCTTCAGCGAAAATGCAGCCGCCGCCAGTTGTTTTCAAAGACAAAACTTGTATGAAGCCGGCGGATCTTGGTCAGTTAAATTTATATCGAATACATACGATATCAGAACACAAGCTAAATGAAGACAAAATCCGATTAACCATTAGAGTAATTGATGAAAATTCAATGAATGAGGTAATTGAAAGAGCAGACGGGTTTCGTTTGAGCAGTTGCGATCGTTGCGGCACCTGGTAGAGCAGATGTGAACCGCGCGTGTGGCTTCCGTGGTCGACTTTGGCAGCGTGACGAAACACGAAAGTTAACCCGAGCAAAGCACCGTGACAGACGAACACCCTGGTGCACGTGCCAGTACTAAACACGACTGACACCTAGTACAAAGAAAGAATTAGGGTCGTCGCCCCGCCGCGGTGGTCTAGTGGCTAAGGTACTCCGCTGCTGACCCGCAGGTCGCGAGTTCGAATCCCGGCTGCGGCGGCTGCATTTCCGATGGAGGCGGAAATGTTGTAGGCCCGTGTGCTCAGATTTGGGTGCACGTTAAAGAACCCCAGGTGGTCGAAATTTCCGGAACCCTCCACTACGGCGTCTCTCATAATCATATGGTGGTATTGGGACGTTCAACCCCACATATCAATCAAATCAGGGTCGCCTACAAACTATTTTACGTAGGAGGCGACACCGAACGCTCTCTTGATATGCTCACTTCACTCGGGGAAGGGTGCTGTTAATCGCGTAATGGAACATTATATCAAAAGTTTAAAGGGGTCGTGAAACATCCGCTCTACAACGACAATGCGGCACCATCGGCAGGCTAACTGTGTCATCAGCCTGAGTGTACCTGCATAGAAGACGCTTTGCTTATCGAGGAACGTGGAAGTCTACGGCATATCGAGCACGCGCAAGAGGCGCTCATCGGCGTCTGCCATGCGCGATCCGCGTCCCACAAGAACGCTGCTTAATATGACGTCAGAGTTCAAGTTAGCGCCGATTGCGTATGACAAAGACGCTGATGAGTGTCCCAGTTGCAGGCACTCGCAAGTACTGGAGAATTCCGCGTTCCTCGATAGGCAAAGCATTGCTTATGATGACGTCACCTAGTTAGTGCGCGTGGACGCGGGCGGCTTCGCATTGTCGCTTTATAGCGATCGTTTCATGACCCCTTTAAGTATGACAGCTGGGCACTTCGATTCACAATGACTGACCTGCGCAACTGCTGGGAATAGCACGTCATGTGCCGATACGTACTTGGTCACTCCTTGCAAGTTGCTTTGAATGTGATGTAAGTGTTCGAGCTCACACATTACGACCACGTGAGACGAACGAAAAAAAAAAAAACGGCACAATTGACAATATGCGCATTACGCAGCTCCTCAAATTGAATCTTATCGTTATCATTCCACAAGCACAGTGACGCGAATACCTCGCAGACAAGACTGCATTTGCACTGCCTGCCATGCTGCCGCGACGACCGAAATTCCGCGGGCTTGCATGCTTGCCGAAACTACCCATAAGGCATGGCAATGATAAGCGAGGGGTGTTTAAAAGCGCCCCCCCCCCCCCTCCCGATTGAAATGCGACCGATGTTGCTGAGCATGGAAACCGCGTCATCGAGTCTAGCAGCGCTGCACCCGCGACCTGTTGGAGCGAAAGTTAGTCTTGATGCTCTGCGATGGGCAGCGTTGCGCTCTTGAAAGGGCTCGGTCTTTCGGGCAAATATAGGCTCCCGACAGGGCAAACGAAAAAGGTAAAGTGATCATTGTTATCGTGCCTTATAATTGTTATTTCGACTGTACGTGGTACAAGCTGTTGCGGGTTATTAAGATGAACATCGGAACCGTAGACGTGCTAAAAGGTATAAATGACACCCCTTGCTTCCAATGTGGGAGGTGCCGGGTTCGATTCCGTCCCGGTGCCAGCCGGAGGCCACCGGATTCAAAGGCAGAGGAGAGTTGTACCCGGAGATTGGCTCACTTCTGAAGTGCACGGTACACCCCTCGCCCGATACCTCCGGGTTAAAGGTACGAGTGCTCTTCGCAGTTGTGCTACGGCACGGCGAGGCTTACGTCGCTCGGGGGGGACGCTTGAGCTACATGGCGGCTATGGGGTACCTACCTACACCCCCCCTCCCCTTCCCTTTTATCTAACTCGTACCTTGAAGGGGCTGTGGCCATGTCTGCCGTACGCGTTTGCTTCATGCGATCTGTTCCGTCATTATTTAGTGGGGAAGAGTTGTGACCGAGTAGGTGTTTGTCAAGCATTGAGGGTGCGAAGTCCTTGTGTTGCATTCCAAGATGTGTTGACTTTCAGCCATGGTCGGGCTATAGACGGCGCGCGCAGTCTATAGCCCTGTTGCGTTTTTTTTTTACTTCTACCCGTGAAAAGCCGTCGACCGAATTCAGAAGCGATGCTTGCTTGTCAGAACGTACAGTAATCAGCCCGCGGTTTTCTGCGGTTAAAGCGGAAACACGGTCGGACTAGACTGCGAGAACGCACGTGCAGTTTAGCCAGGCAGTCTTTCCACGTGTGACGGTAATATCGATATAATTTTATCGCTCTACGTTGAATAGGTGATAAAATACCAAATAACCTTCAACTAAAAAGTAACACAGATAAAAAATAAAGAAAAAACAGACCTATAAGTATAAGTTTACACTTATAGTGCATTTATAAAGTGGTTTGCTGACTTCGAGGAAATATTTTAGAAAAAGAAATAGCACGCGGGAAACGCTGTGGACCACATACAGTACTGATTAAATATCCAACGTCGCGCCGAAAGAACAAAAAAAAAAAAACCTAATATAGACACCACGGGCACTAATATACAACTATTTATTCTTTGAGGAAACAGGCTAATATACACGTTGAATATTTAATCAAGACGTGCACAAACTAGCCCAACAGCGAGTTCTACCACGTACAGTTCGTTGCAACAAGCAAGTCATCGCTTCATTTGCATTCATTTATGCATCCTTTGCGACTCTTAATTGCTTTCGCAATCGTCAGGAAGAGGGGTAAGAGCTCGAACTCCTCTCCACCTATTGAAAAACCCCGCGCACGATATATGATCGAAATAATTACGCTGTGCCCTGTTTAGCCATTGAGAACTTTGAACGACGAAGCTGATAGTGGTACTATCGTGGGCGTTCTACTTTAGTCGCCGCGAAATTCGTTATCCTGAGCTTGCGACTCTCATCATATTTTTTTACGAATAATGCAACTGATTTCACGTAATCGATTGCTCAGGAGGTAATTGGATTACACTGAGTGTTATTGAATGAAAAAAAAAGCAATCGATTATTTGTGCATTCATCAAATTAAGGAGAATTATGAATAGTTAACTGACATCATATTAGAATCGAGCTTTATTTAAGTCCTCTTCAGCTTGAAACAAAATTGGGAAAGGGTGAAAAAAGCACATATGTGATTAATAATCGTTTGGTTTAATCTCGCTAACTGAGAAATGAAAACAGCATCGACCATGACAGACACCACAGTAACCCGGCCGCTCGTACGTGTGACGGTAATGTCGATATAGTTTTATCGCTTTACATTGAATAGGTGATGAACTACCAGATATCCTTCAACTAAAAATTAGCACAGATAAAAATAAAGAAAAACAGACCTATAAGTATAAATTTATACTTATAGTGGATTGATAAAGTGCTCTGCTGACTTCGAGGAAACATTTTAGAAAAGGAAACAGTACGGCGTTGTGCGGTACGGTACGAAGAACATAATTTGAAGATCCGGAGAAGTGTGCACCCCTTAGGATGGCACCGCGGGCCGCTCAACCACCTAACCACCGCATCGACCAAACCTAACCGCCGCATCGCAGGCTCTCTGGCCAGCTCAAAGTTCGTGCTTAATATTCCGAGCTCTTGAGGGCCGAACCCCATTTCTGCTAAGTGAGGTCCTCATCCGTACATAACCAGGGGCACCGCCAAAGCATGTGCTCCAAATTACACGTTTCCCCATCAGCGATGGCACTGCTGTATTTAGAAGAATAAAGAAAAAAAATAACGCATATGTTTAACTGAAATATGCGAATCACCGAAGTCAGTATAAGTCATAAATGGTTGTATCATTAACTAAATACGAGGGAATTAATTATACATTACCGCTTCGTGCACTAATTAGCTTAGTGTTCTCCCATAGTACAGTACATAGTGCTATAAGTTGTCAACCATTTTTTCTAAACATGATGCTCTTCCATTGCGGAGTACGTATACATCGTACTCTAAATTAAATTG